CCAGAGGGGCAATATAACATTCCCAACACACTGCTTTGGCCCCTGCTTCAGATAAACGGGAGGCTCAAATCAGAATCAATCCATTTGAATCAATCGGCTGGTAGCTGAGTCACTCTTGACCTCGGCCAGGAGTCAACTGATTGATGCAGACTGGGCAGACACGTCCCTGCTCGACAGTTTTGTCACATCAGACAAGATGTGCTTGATTGCATTGTGAGAATAAAGCTCCTGGGAAACCCTGGTGCGATGGTCTATGGAAATCTCCCATGTAATGGCATCCCCTTGTTGGGCCCCATGGTGAGTAGGGTCACTGGGAGCTGAATAATTATTACATAATAATGGATTCAAAAAACCCAAAATGTCCAAACACATCAGCAACAACAACAAATGAAAAAAATCTCCAGCCAACCAGTGTATTTAGTAGTGCATGCAACTGGAGATAACCTGTGTCTAAGTCTTCTCCTTTCCTGATTCAAAAATTATTTGAATCGATCATTAGACATTTGAAAAAAATACAAAAATTGAAGTTGGGACCTACTGTAGAAACAGCCTCTTACAATGAAGACTCTTGGAGATATGGGAGTTTCAGTCACACCACATGGAAGTTTAAACTCATCACATGGTGTGTTATCTGAAGACAAATCAGATATTCAGATTGGTCTTTCGGATCAATGTGTCACTGTGTCTGACGCATCTCCATTCATTGATGGCAAGTTGATACCAACTAACCATATAATTTTCAGGTTCAACAAGCTGACATTGCCATCTTTCATTACTGCAAGATACCTGTGCTGTCAAGTTCATCCATATGTCCCAAATCTGTTACATTGCTTCAAGTGCCAGCGGTTTGGACATTTGCAAGCATCCTGCCAAGGGAAGAGTGTATGAGCACAGTGTGAAATCGAAGGTCACAAGAGTACTGAATGTAAAAGTACCCCATGCTGTATGAACTGCAAAGATGCCCATCCTGCCTACTCCCGAATGACAAAGAGAAAAAGAGATTCAACGGATAAAAACTGTTAACAACATACCATATCCAGAGGCTTGTCGCATAGTCACTCCAAGTGCACCAATGAAACAAAAGACATTTGTTGCTATGTTGAAATGTACAAAGATATGTGGGATTCAAACAGATATTTCTGTCTCCCCAAGCAAATCTCTCATTTACCATGCAAAATGTTTACTAGCGAAATGCTTATGGGCCTCACTCGTTGGTATAGCCCAAGAAACATGAAAAGGAAGGAAGAGTTAAAGTTATAGGAAGGGTTTAGGTTGAAGGTGAAAGAAAGCAAGATAGGACAGAATGAAAGTGAAGATACCCCATAAAACCCAAGGCCCCCACATTGCCTTTATTCAACCAAAGAAAGAAAGTAATTACAAAGAAAACATATGTACAAAATTTGTTTACAGTATTTACACTGAAGAGTAACATGGCTAATGTTGAGCTTTGATTTGTGGTAACAATACTCTGTATGAATGACGTAATAAGATTAGCAGCTACAAATTGAAAACAATGGTTACAAATTTATGCCCGTACAGTATAGATCTCACAAAATGTAGCCATACATTTTAGGAAAATATACATTAATTTACCTTGAAAACATATGAGTTTGGAATACAAAGTTAATAAATAAGATACCCTTGCTTTGGGATATATTAACAAATTGTGTACACATACAATAATATAATGTTTTGAAAAAACACTATATTATTTACTGATTTCATTAAAAGAAACTGCAGAAAAAGAGAATAGTAAGAATAAAACTTCACTAACTAAAACAGGGGCAATAACTAAAAATGTGGGTTCTAAAAAGGGCAATAAGAATCCACTCAATAAACAAAGAGTAAAAGCAGCCCTCTCTAAAGTTTCAAAAAAATCAGAAGCTCAATCTATGAGTGAGTTTTCTGATATCTCTGACAAAGAGTCTAATATGGAGGTTACAAACCAATGTCACCTCCAAAAGAAAAACCCCCTGTGAGATTAAAGAGGGATACTTTTGCAAAGAACAGAATACTGCCTCAAACACATAATGGATTATAAAATAATTCAATGGAACTGTTGTGGTTTCTGCAACAACTTCTCTGACATTAAACTACCCCATCTCTCTGCATGGCACTCCAGAAAACTCATCTAAAACCTGGAGAAAAAATTTCTTTAAAAGGATGATGATAGTCACAACTGTGCCAGTGGAGGTGTGGCTATACTGGTTTCAAATTGCATCCCATCCTTACTGGTACAAATAACCACTGATTTGCAAGCTGTGGCAGTCAGAATTTCTATTTTAATAACTGTCACAGAATTTCTGTTGGAGTAACTGTCACAAGAGTTCTATATACTTGCCACCAGATGTCAGAGTCAATGAGAATGAATTGAATACCTTGAGTGAACAGCTGCCAACTCCATTCCTTCTACTCGGTGATTTTGATGGTCACAATCCAATGTGGGGCAGCCCAGACATCAATCGTCGAGGCAGAGCCATTGAGAGATTTATAGGCAATCACCAACTGTATTTATTTAATACTGGAGAAGTGACATACTTCCATGCCCCAACAAGAACATTCACTTCCATTGATTTATCATTAGCAATTTCGAACCTGTTTTCAGCATTTACAATTGGATTGGGGGTTGGATCTAATCCACTCTCCAGTGACCATTTCCCAGTATTTCTAAAATACTGAGGCAGAGAAAGCTCTGAAATGACCTATCCACCATGCTGGAAACTGGAAACAGCTGATTGGCCTGCATTCTCCTCTATCGCCGACATCTTTGAAGAAATGATCAATACTGCTAATATCAATGGTGCATTGAAGCTATCACTTCCATTATTATTCAGGCAGCTGAAAAAAAATGGGGAAACATCAACCAGATATCCAAAACACTTGAAACCATGGTGAAATCAGAATTGCGAGGCAGCATACAAACAACAAAAGAAAGCATGGGGGATTTTCAGAAGATAACCCACTGCTAGCAATTTGATTGCATTTCAAAAAACAAAGGCAAATGCCAGAAAAATAAGAAGGCAAAGCCAAAGGAGGAAGTATGTTTCTAGCATAACATCTTCCACTAACTCAAAAGTAGTCTGAAATAAAATCCATAAAATTAATGGGAAATATGCTTCTCAGTCTCTGTCCATGCTGGAAAATAATGGCACAATAATCATTGATATACAAGGTATTGCTGATTTGTTGGGTGAAACATTTTCCTCTTCATCCAGCAATATAATGTATTTGAAAAATTTCCAAGCTTATAAAGAAGCACAAACAGAAAAGCAATATTTAAACTTCCTTTCCACATCTAATGAAGAATACAATGTGCCATTCACCAGAATAGAACTACAACAGCAATCTCTCACTCAGGCAATACTGCTGTAAGTCCAGATAAAATCCACTACAGAATGATTAAAAATCTGTCAAACAATTTCCTTAGTAATCTTCTGAATCTGTTTAACAGAATGTAGACAGAAAATACTTTTCCTAACTCTTGGAAACTATCGATTATTATCCCCATTCCCAAGCCAGGTAAAGACCACAAGAATCCCTCTAACAGACCAATCTCTCTGATGAGTTGTCTTTGTAAACTGTTTGAGAGAATGGTAAACAGACATCTGATGTTTCTCTTAGAGAAAAAGGATTACTTTTCATCACATCAGAGTGGATTTCATAGGAACAGAAGATACGATTGAGATTGCGACGAGGCAACTGGCCAGACGGGTTTGAAGCGTGACGAACACCAACAATGTGGCGAGAAAGCCACCAATTCATCCATCCCCATTCACCCATACTTTCTACAGAAGAAGATTGATTACCATAAATTACATTACAGTAATTGATCATTTTTGTAAGGGGCATACGTGGCTGTGCGCCATTTGTGTTTTGTAATAATACACGTGTATTTTATATTTTTTCTTTTTCTATTTCTCTCCTTCATAAATTCCATCCTTTGTTCTATCATTTTTCCTTCCTGGAATGTTCTTATTCAAACTTTATTCCCATATATGGTCAAAAGGAACTGTGTTAAACAATAGAAGGGTATGCAGCCCAAAGGGCAATAGGAGGAGAGGTAAACCAGTTAGGATTTAAACCGTGGACGAGACAGATGTGTGTGTCAGATATAGCAGTATGTTTAGGCATCGTGCAGAATAGGCGAGAGTCATAAGATACTGAGGAATTAACTATCAGATGATCTAAGGAGCGAAATCATGAATATTGGAGCTTGGTAATTAATTCTGGAGTGACAATAGCCGAAAACCCCCTATTTTGGACTTCAAAGAATGACTTCCGCACAAAGATTCCAAATACATACCATCATAAAGATCCAAATCCAGAACATTGGGTACCCATTTCACTATTTCCTCAATCTGTCCTATCCTCTATCTTATTCTGTAGCATTATAATTAGTTATAGGTTTTATTTTACTCTATTTTATGTTATTGTACAGTACAGTACCACATGGTCAATGTTGAAAATTTTCGCCAACCCCATTAGTATTTGTCGTGCGGAACTGAGTCAGTGATTTTTTGTATTTAGCATTAATAATTAGTATTAATTGTGTCGTGTGTCAGAATCAAGACTGCCTGGCATCTGATATATGTGAACCTGTATATAATCGTAATAGAACAAATAAAGTTTTCTTTGTTCATCTACTATTTGTTAGTATTAGAAAAAAACCTTACTATATCAAAATCTTGAAAAAAGTCATAAAAGGTGATTTGAGCCAAGGAATGCAGAAAGAGATTTTGCATTATTGAATTCCTGCCTAAGTCATTTAGAATCATATTATATTAGTATTGCTATAGCAAATGTCTTGCCCATCAATTTGTTATTATTTGAAGAAACTAAAATAACTGAAGTAAATTAGAGTTTAATGTTCTCATAATTCAGGATTTATGAAAAAATGATAGACTGTTGATAAAAATTGAAATTTGCTTATAGCTTTTGAGTAGTTTTGTATCAAAACTTATCATGTGCATTGAGTTATAGATATTCTATGTAATACAAACCTGTAGAACATGGACGCAAATCTGGAGTTTTTGGACAAGCACAGATGTAACCTTGTGGACGGTAAAAACAAAGATGACTACATCCTCCATTTTGTATTCCACATGGATTAGTACCTATGTGATTGATTATTATGATTATATAAAAAATTAAATATTAAGTTTAAAATAGTAATATATTATACTAAACAAAAAATTATATTTTATTTAAAGCTTATATTTCTTAAAATAGACAATATACTTTTGAAATATCCTGAATATAACAGAAATTTTTCTAGCATAGAAGATATTTCTGCTATGCATGCTAGAATTAAGTAAGAATAAAAATTTAATGTTTCATTTAATTTATAAGGGTCAATTTAGATCAAATGTGTAAAGGCATAACCTTGAAGCAGATGCATATGCACAAGAGCAAATAATTTCAAACAGCCTAACAGCTATTTGAAATTATTTGAAACAGTTGGAAAAATTCTGTAACTATGTTTACTTTCAAGTGTAGAACAACAAAGTGTAGTGCATTTTTTGATTACAGAAGGAATAGATGAAAGAGAAATTAATTGCAGAAGAAATGCCTTATATGGAGATCACAAGAAAGGAAACAAAAATTGTCATGAAGCACATATCTCTGCATGATGTAAGGCAAGCTTGAATGAATGGATAAAGTGATTCATAAAAGTAGAAATAGTGGGTATAAGCCATGGATGGGCAAGCAAGAGTTCAGTGGGAACTGAAATGTAAGTTTTGCAAAATGCATGGGAGACACAGTTCTGTACCGCAATTTTATTAATTATATAAATACAATATAAAACAAATATTGAATTTTTTTAATAAACATATTTTCACAAAATTGTGGAAATAAAATTGTAAAAATAATAATAAAAAGCAGAAATTAACACTTTCAGCAAGAGCCGCATGTAACTCAAAAAGAGCCGCCTGTTGTTCTCAGAGCTGCATTTGCCCATTTCTGGTATAAGCCAAGGAAAGGTTATAATACAGTGGATCAGTGGTTTTCACATTACCCAAGTCAAGAGTAACAGATGGTTTATATGGGAACTATACTTAAACACTATGATATGCTACTTGTCTAGTCTTCTTAATGGCTTGTGAGCACTAAGGTTGACTTTACTTTACCACTAGACTTAGCCTGTGATGGTGTAATAAGTCTAGCGGTAAAGTAAAGCCAACCTTATACTTAAACATTTGTTACTACATGGTAGAGTTCCTACAGAGACTTAATAGGTGATGAATCTTGGTGTATCATTTCAAGCCAAAGGAGTCAGTGAAACACTGACTCCTTTGGCTTCTGCTCCTTTGGTCTCATCACTGCTTCTCAAAAAATTCAAAACCATGCCCAGTGCTGGAAAGTTAGTATTAACAAGGGTCATTGCTTACTGACCTCATAGAGACTGATACCATTATTAAAACTGCACATCTTCGCAGTCAAAAAGGTCAAGTTTGCTGTCTGAGCTTTTTGAATCACTCCTTTTGACAAAAAGAGTGATTCTCCTTCATGACAATACAAGGCATCACAAAGATCAGATGGGTAATGCTCTGCTAAACTAAAAAAGTGCTAAAGAGATGATGAGTTAAAAGAAGCTGTTTGAGGTTGATTGCATCAGCAGCCAAAGGAATTCCATCAGAAAGCTATCTTCCACCTAGTAAAACAGTAGAATAATCACTTAAATTTCTGCAGAGAATGTTTAGTTTATTTTTAAATGAATCTCATAGTTTCAAAGATACCTAATTACTTTTTGACTGACCCTCAAATTCTTTTATTACTATGGAAGTACTAAGATGCATTACAAACAATACATATATGAAAAATGTATTATATTTATTATATATTTAAGTTAATTATTTCTAAAATAAAGAAATAAAATATAAATCTATATAAAAAACTTACAAATACCCTCTCACAGTTTTTATAAATTTAAATAAAGGAATTAAAATTTACCTGACTGGCGAAGAGATGACACCATTTTAATTTCCATTAAATATTCAATATTTTCAGCAATAATAATTCTATTCTGGCCAGTTTCTTTATCTGCTCTTTCAATTGCTTTTGTCTGCCAGTCAGTCCAATATATATATGGTCCAAACTTTCAAAATATGTGATTTATTTATTCATTATGCAAATTTGTAAGAGTTACACAAAACAAAAAGAAAATAATCATAATAACTTACTTGAGTCAGACCAAATGGATGAGCAACATCATGAATTATCTGAATGCGATTTTTGCCTGATAAATCAGAACACTCTATACGATCCAACTGGGCATCAACCCAGTACAATCGATGAGCATCATAATCGACAGTTAGTCCATTAGGCCAACCCAAGTCTGAAGCTATGATAATTCTTCTACCTGATCCATCAAGAAAAGCTCTTTCAATCTTTGGTAATTTGCCCCAATCAGACCAATATAAATATCTGAAAAATACATATATATATACTTCAATACATTTTAATAATAAAATTGTGGGACAGAAGATTTTCATTCTTTAATATAAAAATGAAATATGCTTTTTAGAATTATAATCAAGGTTGTGGAGTCAGAGTCGGGAAAAATGTGCTGACTCTGACTCCTGCATTTTAAATTTACTTTAGTTTTTTTATTTAAATGAAAGAAAATTTATTATACATTTATTAATTTTTTAAACCTTTTTGTATTTTGTTATAATTCATTTATTTTAAACACAAAATGCATCAATTTAATTTATTAAATATGTAGTATTCTTTGTAGTATTTGTGTTTAGTAGTTAAATTATTTCAGTAGTTTTGTTTTATTCCAGAGCGGCTGGTAATTGTGGTCAAGCACTTTCTTTGCTAACTCTGTAACTGGCCTGCTGTTTTTGATGTCTTCTTGATGTTCAAGAACACGTGAACATAACCTTCTAACTGTGGTCCCTACATAACTGGTTTCTTCAGCAGGACCTGGTAGATTCCTGATTTTTCATTCCATTGATATCTGTGCCTATCATTACATAGTTTTCTTAGACTTGGTGGTGATGTTATTGGTAGAACAAAACCATCAGTTGTAAACATATGTGCAATTTTTAAAGAAATGGGACCTAAATAGGGTATTGGGGGATGTGCTATTCTTAGGTTTTCTTTATTAGAAAGAAAAGATTGCGGAAATAATTTATTCTTAACACGGTTTTGAAGAAATGTAAATTTAGAGCGTGAATAACCAGCATTTAACATGGCATTATAAATGATAGATAACTCATCTTCCACTAGTGACTGAATAGAAGGAAGAAGGTATGCCCTCCATATTAGAGAAGAAATAGCAGAATTTTTGTAATGTGATGGCTGGTAAGCAGTAGCAGGTACGATTTGCGATGCTTTATTATTTCTATGATGTACAGTGAATGTAAGCTCCGGAGACACACATATGTCTAGATCCAGAAAAGAGATTCTATTGTTTTTTTGCTCTTCAATGGTAAAATTAATTGAAGGATAAATGGAGGCTAACATTTGTGTGAATTATTGTAAACCCTCATTGGAGCAGTCCCACGCAATTAACACATCGTCGACATAACATATATACATGAGAGGATATGTATATATGTTATATATGTAAGATGGTAACTTTAGCTTCAATAGAGGCATGTGTTACAAATTCAGAAGGCGGAATCAAAGAAGTGATATGCTTTGCTAGCGCAGCCTCGAGATGGTACGTGAGATGGGATCTTTTATTGACTAGTGGTCTTAGCGGCCAGGAAGGTTTATGCATTTTTACCTTGAAAAATAATCTAGGGCAGGTGACATTCTTTGGAGGATTGAGAGGACCACCCAACGATTCCACTAATCCAGGCAAAGCTATAACTTTGCGTGATTTTCTTAACACTGTGTAAGCAGGATCTTGTTTTAGTATGATGGATTTGGAATGTTCAAGGAACTCTTTGGCTCTATCTAGAAAATCCTGGTTTTTGCATAGAACAAAACATTTTTCTTTATCAGCAACCAATAGATTTAACTGATTCATTGCCAAGAAAGATTTAACCATCTGCGTTGTCTTCAGATTGGTCCTTGTAGTTTTAAAAGAATGATTCAATACTATGGCTGTCAAAGTAGACAGGTCTAACTTAGGCTGCACTTCTGGACATTTGGTGCTCCTTATGGCCGCGATAGTGGATGGTATCAATTGTGAGTAATCCAGGTTAGGAGTAGGTATAAACTTTGGCCATCGTGTCAAGGTATGATGGATACTTTCCAGTACCGTAATGTTTGTAAAGTTATAATAAGGAACTATTTCTTTAAAAATTGCACATATGTTTAGAACTAACGGTTTTGTTCTACCAATAACACCACCACCAAGTCTAAGAAGACTACTATGTAATGATAGGCACAGATATCAGTGGAACGAAAAATCAGGAATCTACCAGGTCATGCTAAAACATGCATTGTCAGGTGAAGAAACCAGTTATGTAGGGGCCACAGCTAGAAGGTTATGTTCACATATTCTTGAACATCAAGAAGACATCAAAAACAGCAGGCCAGTTACAGAGTTAGCAAAGAAAGTGCTTGACCACAATTACCAGCCGCTCTGGAACAAAACAAAATTACTGAAATGCTGCAATGAACATAAAGAGCTATTTGTTTGGGAGAGTCTCTATATTTCTGCCACCAAACTGTGCAACTCCCAACTCTCGAATTACCAGAAATTTGGGTAACAGCTTTTAAACAACTCAATCCATGATGTTGAAGTCTTTGCTACTCAGATGTCTTTTTGACATATCTTATACTTTATGCATGTTCTGGGATCTTTTACGGCCTTATTCTTCCTAAAACATGCTTAATTAAAACTGTTTTCCTTCCATGCGCTATGATGCACAAAAGGATTTTTTAATTACATTCAAAAATGAAAAATCAGTTAATCCGTTGGAAATATTGTTTAATAATTTTGAAAATCCGAAATTTGTGAAACTGTCGAATTAGTGTTCGAAAATCTTAATCTGTTGTATTCGATAGACTGCCTGAAGATGGTAGTTATATATTACTGAGAGTATTACCAAACGAGTTCATTTTTTAAAGTCGGACGAGTTCATTCTCCAAGACTCCACTCCTGTAACGCCACAACACGTAAGTGTTATAATCATATAATAAACATTGGCGTGAAGTGACATTGTATTATATCATGGATAATAATAGAAAACACTTCTTTTCTCTATTGAATATGAGAATTATATGGTTAAGACTAAAAGCACAGTTATGGTTTTTACTAAAGTGCCGGAAAACACATCTTATTCCGAAGTGCATAGTGCTCAAGTATGATTCCTTCCCAAAGGAAGTGCATACTATATTACCTCAAACTGAACGAAAACTGCTGGCTAAATTAATAAGAAGTAGTTCAATTATTTTGACCCAATTGAATTTGAATATTTTTGAAACATTACTTATTTAGAGGAGGGATAATAAAGGACTTTATTTTTCTGAATGAGCCAGACTAATTGATCAGAGTACATATTTTTCTTTTCTGAACAAGGTACTGAAGTAGCTAGCTAGATCTCACACTTTTTAGTTGGAGTAACTCTTCTGGAAGGGTGAAATTGAAGTGCAAATGCTGTCGAATACATGTAGATGTAGAATTTTATCAGCCCCTTTCTCCTCTTATTAAATATTTGTTAAAAATTAATTTTTTTATACAAATAAATATTAATGTAAATTAAATATTAAAAATACTAACTATAAAAGTATTTGGGTAAATGCCCCAGGCTCCTTTCAGAGTTCAGAGTAGTTGCCCCCCTATGACGGCCTCTGTCTCCCCTTATGGGGGCAGAGGCACTCATAGTCTGAGTCAGCCTACTAAAATTATCAGGAATCAGAGTCGTGTTTTTTTTGCCAACTCTGCAGCCCTAATTATAATTTAAGCAAATTAATAAATTATAAATTTGTTATGATATATTTAATTGACTTTCCCATGCATTTGCTCATTACAGTTTTCAATCCACAAATCATAAATGAATCATCCAAATCTATGCAGTTTATCACCAATTTCTTTGCTGGTAGTGGAAGAAATACCATGCCTACAGGTTTTTCCATAGATAATGAGGTAGGAGAAATTACACAACCAAAATTGTCAGAATATAATGCCACTCATTTAAGGACTAAAATTTAAACTGTCTTGGAAGTCAGAATTCCATGGTTACTGTCTGTGAACAATGTTATGACTTTTCATATTGTGTTCTAGCTGGAAAACACAATGTATTTACAACTGGATGTAGGTACTTTGTCAAAAAACATGCAAACTGAAAATGCACAGAGATGATGTTTAAAATCCAACTTTGGGATATATATATATTCCTGAAGATAAATTTTTATCAGAGTATAAAAAGTACTTGATTGATTGGAAATATTTAAAAAGATGAAGATACTTTAATAAAGCAGAGGTTAGTAGTTAATCATTGTGTAAACATTCGTACTAATAATGTTATGTCATAAAAAAGTTTGTAGAAATACACTACTATGTTATATTATACATATATAATGACTACTGTAATCAGAGACTGAAATGAAATATTTTTCATTCCTGTCCTTTTTAGCAGTTTCCCTTATGTTTAAATCATATTCTATTTCACATTCATAACTTGAATCATTTTTATTTGGAATAATCAAACTTACTGAAGTGAAAAATGAGAATTATAATTGAAAAATAATTATTTGGCCCTTTCTTCAATGAAAAGCATATTTAAAAAGCTAGCAAAACCCTGTGCTTTTCACAATTCTATAGTTCCTCTCTTAAATCCACTCATGCTGATAAATTCAAGAAAAAATAAATGATATAACAAGTAAAAATAACTATTATGATAAAGTAAAACCAAGAGAATAATGATGGTAAATATCCTTAAAAATAAATAGCAGTGGCGTGCTGTCATTGGAAGCGGTGGATGTGCCGCTTCCCTTGTATTTTCAAAAAAATAAATACATATTAATTTTAATTATATGAAAATAATCGCACAATATTTTATTATAACTGCATTATCTATCTTATTACAAATTCCTATACTACACGTGAAAAAAAAAAAAATTGCTATTGTATATTCGAATATTAATGGCAGAGTGGAATCTCTGTATTGTCAGATTCCAAAAAGCCAGATTCGTGCATGCGCTTTACAGAGCACCAACCTTACCCGGTTTAGCCGGTGGAAGCCTACGATCTTGGGTTTATGCTACACATACTACAACACTTCCAATTCTATCTGGGATCGGTTCTGGGCTGTTAGCTGATTACGTGAATAACGAGTAGATTTATAACTTAACCCAACTGATAAGAATTTACTGGTATGTTTTTACGATAGTTCTGTATAGTTGACAGGAGTTTAAGAAATCTATTAAAATATTTGAAATCCGTGAGTAATATAAAATCAGAGAGTGGAATAAAAATATCAATGTTAAACCAGTGATATTACGATTTTGTATGTCCCATC